CATCAGCCTGGGGACTGAAAGGTCCTTGGTTCGATTCCAGGTCAGGGCACAGGCCTGGGTTGCAGGCGCGGTCCCCAGTAGGGGGCGTGCAGGAGGCAGCGGATCAATGATTCTCATCATTGATGTTTCATTCTCTCTCTCCCTCTTCCTTCCTCTCTGAAATCAATAAAAATATATTATAAAATATATATATATATAACCCTAACCACTTTAGCTCAGTGGATAGGGCGTCGGCCTGCGGACTGAAGGGTCCCGGGTTCGATTCCGGTCAAGAGCATGGACCTTGGTTGTGGGCACATCCCCAGTGGGGGGTGTGCAGGAGGCAGCTGATCGGTGGTGTTTCTCTCTCATCGGTGTTTCTAACTCTCTATCCCTCTCCCTTCCTCTCTGTAAAAAAATCAATAAGATATATTTAAAAAAATTAAAATTAAAAAAATTTTTTTTTTTTGATTTCAGAGGGGAAGAGAGAAACATCAATGATGAGAGAGAATCATCGTCAATCAGCTGCCTCCTGGGTGTCCCCACACTGGGGATGGAGCCTGCAACCCAGGCCTGTGCCCTGACCTGGAGTCGAACCCTGACCTCCTGGGTCATAGGTCAACGCTCAATCACTGAGCCCTGCTGGCCGGGCTGCTTACTGGTTCTAGAGGGAGAAGGAAACACCCATGGGTTGCCTGCTGTGCGTGCCGCCACCAGGGACTGAGCTACAGCCTTTTGGTGTCCAGCTGACAGTCCAGCCGGCTGAGCCTGGGGCCAGGGCGCTACAGTTTTTTAGTAAAATACACATAAACCCAGAATTCACCATGGCAACCATTTTAAAGTGCAAGGGTCCAACATCATTCTTTTGCATGTCTCAGCACCATCTAGTTTTGCCTGTCAGTTCTGCCCATTTTAACAAACTTAGGCCATAGGATGTTTGTAATTTAAACCTCTTTTATACACTATATGCATGTTTCCAAGCAACGTTTGTTAAAGGGTATTTCCCCTGTTGAATGGTTGTGGCACCCTTGAATTCCTGCACTCTTCTTATTTTTTATTTTAATATTTTATTGATTTTTTACAGAGAAAAAGGGAGAGGAATAGAGAGAAACATTGATGAGAGAGATCGATCAGCTGCCTCCTACACACTCCCCACTGGGGATGTGCCCGCAACCAAGGTACATGCCCTTGACCGGAATCGAACCTGGGACCCTTCAGTCCGCAGGCCGAGGCTCTATCCACTGAGCCAAACCGGTTCGGCACTCTTCTTATTTTTAAAAAAAATCCTCACCCAGGATATTTCCTCCATTGATTTCTAGAGAGAGCAGAAGGGAGAGAGAGAGAGAGAAATATCTAAGTGAGAGAGACATCGATTGGCTGCCTCCTGCACATCTCCTACTGGGGATGTGCCCCGCAACCCAGGTACATGCCCTCGACCGGAATCGAACCTGGGACCCTTCAGTCCGCAGGCTGACGCTCTATCCACTGAGCCAAACCGGTTTCGGCACTCTTCTTATTTTAAAAAAAAATCCTCACCCAGGATATTTCCTCCATTGATTTCTAGAGAGAGCGGAAGGGGGAGAGAGAGAGAGAAAAAAATATCTAAGTGAGAGAGACATCGATTAGCTGCCTCCCACACGTGCCCCAACCGGGGAACCTGCAACTGAGGGACCTTTAACCTGGAATCAAACCCGAGACCCTGAGCAAACGGGCCAGAGTGATTCCCGCTCCTTTGATTCCTTCCGTTTGACTGTCCTCACGCCTGACGGTCTGTTTGCTGCGGCTGCACTGGGAGGCCTCCCGCGGTGTCTCACCCCCATACATTGTCCACTTGGCCTCGGTATCGCTTTTGTGGGCCCTTCACAAAACAAAACAAAAACCACTTTGTGACTGTGTTTGTACGGAGATGAATAAAATCCAGGTGGGATTGTATTTATTGTTTCCCCTTCTCGTTTAAAAGAAGCATTTTTGTTGCCTCTGCGTGTATGTGGGGCCCAGGCCCTCTGCCTATTGGAGAACTCGGCCCGTGTTTTCACTCTGAGTGTCTTGGGGATCGTTTTCCTTCATGGGCTCCGTTGCAGGTCTGCAAACTCAAAGGACAACATAGCAAGTGTTTCCGTCTCTGGGTCGCCTGTGGTCTCTGTCATGTGTGTGTACAGCCCGTGAAAAATGTTAAACCTGTCTTCACTTTTCCCTGGTGCCCTCACGGGGAAGCAGGTGTCATTGTGGCCCCGGGTTTTCTCTCTGCCCTGAGCCGGGGCCCTTGAACCAGACCCTCGATGGGACGGCTGTGTCCGCAGGGTCCCCCGCACGGCCGAGACATGAACACGCCCACCGGTCACCTG